GATTTGAGGATGTTTTTTCACAAGATAGGATTATAAATATCACAGAGAAGAGAGGAAGGAGGAAGACTCCATGGGTCAAGAGCACACAGGAACAAAGCAAGCAAGACATGAATGTGCCAGGTTAGGTATCATTTTATAAAGCTGAAGGAACAGTCCTCAAAGCCCAGTCAAAGGTAAGGCTTTGGCATTTCAAAAATCTCTTAGGATCTCATATAGTGCAGTAGTGCCCTTGCTCATCTTGTATATACAAGAGAGTCCACTGCACAGCAGTATTTTCTAAAAACTATAATTCCCACCCTAATCCCAAAAGAAATTCATTCTTTTTACAGATTCATAAAAGCTTCCAGTGGCATCTCAGCTAGGTTCTGCTGGGCTGTTACTGACACAAACCATTTTAACTGAAAGTCTTTTTTGTTTTTTCATCTTAAAACATAATACACAAGCAGATTGAGAACCTTGAGCTTCATAAGCATATTCCCTCAACATAACAAAAGAGAACCTATTCAAAACAGAAGAAGTAAGATTAGATTTGGTAGGGCCTTTATTCAACTAGAGTATTGAAGAGGTCATTCTCAGAGCTGAGTTTCCTAATATAACAAATTCACACAAATGTTGCTACAGATTTAATGAATGTTTTTTCATCCTGTGTCACACCGCCTCCCAGCCTGCAGTCGCCCCCCCCAACCCGACTTTTCAAAATGTATTTCATACACAGAGTCAGTGTTCTGGTTGTTTATTTAATTAACATGACAGCCCAGCATACACAGCATTTCTTTCAGTTCTACAGTTTTAACTTTTTACATTGCAGACCCAATACAGAAAGAGTAAAATGACTGTTTTCACTCCTTCCAACCTCTGCAAATTTATATAGATTCACTGACTATTTCTGTCAGTTAAAGCACTTTTTCAGTATGCCTTAAATATCTTTATTCACAAAGTAAAATTACAATTTTAAAATCACAGAAAAACAAAACCTTCTTTTCCCTCACTTTTCCCAGGGGATAAGGAAATCCTGTTTTCTTTTTTCAGTATTTTCAGAAGTTGATATTACTTGAGTTTAATTCTGTCACCAAGTCATAGATCATCTATCTGTATTGGTCGCTGTATCACCACAAGTAATACTACTGAAATGTGATAGAACGTACAATTTAACTATAAAGCTCATCATTATTTTGGAAACTTATTCAATTTGAGAAATATATTGTAATGACTTAGAAATTTAAAGGATGATCTAAGTGTTGAGAAGAAATATTTCTGTGCTGTATATCTTTTAAAATCAAGTTAGACTTTTTTATTAATAAAATAACAAAGTCCACTACCTGCCTGCTTTCCAATGCCTTCCATCAAAACTCATGCCCATTTCTTATATTGTTTTTTTGTTTGGCTTTTTGCTTTGAAAATGCCTTTCTCACATCATTGATGAAAAATGCCTCTTCTGATAACCAACTCAAAATTAACTTACATTCTATAACTGTACATTCATATATATAATGTTTAAGAGCTTGGGGAAATAGTCGCAGGAAACAATTTTGGTTTTTGATGACATAATATCCAATGCACATCTGGTACATTTCTAACTCATGTTGTACCCACCTCAAAAGAAATCATTAAATGAATCAAATGAATTAATGGAGAAATGTATATGCCTTGCCTTTATTTTGTGTGAGACTATAGGGAAAATATTAAATGTTTAACATGTAACTAAAATAAAATTGCATGTTTTGTAATCTTTCATAAATGCCTAAAACAGTAAGAGCAACAAGTAATAAATAAGCAAATATTCTTTTAAGTAGGAGACTAGACAGCCCTCAGATACAGTTGCCATACATTAGAAATAACATAACTACAATGTTATGTGAACAATGTATTTATTAATCATGCACAATATCTAATAACTTATGAAACTATATATCCCTTTGTGTAACCCAGTATGTGCAGAAATACAGTGGCAACTTGAGAGAAATATAGCTGCCCTTGGAGGTGAAGATCCACTTAGAAAAGTAGCTGCATCTTAGGAGACATTTATCTTCTCAGCACTGCCAGCCTAAAAAGTACAGTCAGACATACTCATCCACAAAATCAGACTTCAAGGCACTGGGCAGGCAAGACTACAAGAGATGCTATAAACTTGGTTCTCTACTCATAGTAAAGCTATGACACACCCACTGCTCAATTAATTTTTGTGACCTGTTTTCTCCTTTCTTTGCTTGAAATCACTTTTGTCATCAGGGCTGCAAAACTCAATTCTATGTGTGATAGCCCAGCTATAGGCTTAATTTCTATAGATGGAAGTTTCTAGGAGGAAGGAAGAAACGGAACACATATCTGTCGATTGGTTTGTCTTATGAGAACTTTATCGTATATTCTCTTTGCTCTTCTAGAACTAAGAGCCACTGAAAAGCGCAAACTCATAAGCAAGTAGCTACTGTCATCCATGTGGAGAAGGAAGTGCTGAAATTCTTTTGCCTTTAAACCCCACAATGAGCAATGTCCAAAACAATTCTCAGGCTGTCTCTGTGCTTCATGCACTTACTCCACTGTCTAAAACTAACTTGTCACCTATGAGCACGGACTTAAGTTGAGAGGAGATTAGCTTTCAGAAAAGAACTAATCTGCTGGCGTTCCAGGGAGGGTTATATATTCATTTTACAGTTATTTTGATTCTTCATAAAGTATGCAAATGACAGTGGTACACTTTGCACCCTTAGCCAGAAGTTTGTTTCCTTATGATAAAACAGCTAAGCCATTTACTGTAGGGCTCCTGAACTTTTCACACAGTTAGGCTAACGTATGAGATATCACCCTATCTTATAAGGTACTATCCCATGTCAGTTCCCACCCACTCCCCAAGGTAAGCTGAGCAAAACTTTAATGGGTCATATATAAAAGCTAATCTCCAGTAGCACACGCACACACACACATACCCATACCTTTTTAAAACGCCAAGGATTTAAATTTTTGCTACATGTAATCTTGTTTTTCCATCAACCGTAAAAGGTAGTCTCTGGTTTTAGAACATTATTCATAAACACGGCCTTTAAAAAAAAAGGTAACTCAAGAAAATGACAGAAATAGATTTCACATATGAATTCTGCAACTACATTAATCAGCAAAACATTTTTTAAAAGGCCACGCTGAGTTATTTTCTTATAAATTTGCAGATTATTGCAATTGTTCGTGAGCTAATTTAAATCAGAGAAATCCTCTGAAAATCTGTGGGTTATTTAACATGGCTGGTTAATTCATCCAAGTACCATCTTATCTTAAATCCACTCTTTTCTCCCTCAAACATTAATGTGAAATTTCAGAATGTAATTTCAGAGGCTACATGATATTAATTGGGAGTCATTATTTATGATTAAATCCAGATTTTTCTTAGAAATTAGGGATTCAGGGTTTGCCTGGAACACATCACATTTCACTGCATGTTGAAGAGTTGTTCTAAACATATTTAAACCAGTGGCAATTTCATTTAAAAGACATTTTTCTCCCATAATACTGGAAAGAAACTCCACTGTGTTTCTATCCTAATTAGCCTACCTTGAAGTAGATAACTTTATTCTAACGATCTCTAAATTTCTACTACAACTAAGTATCTGCTTTTTTCCTTTACTCTTAGAGTAAGCTTAAACCCAAGATATTTGTTTTATCTAAACAAGAAGCTAAATAAGTACATTGCTTCTAAAATAAATGCAGAGAGTATGATGCTGTCAACCACACTGGTAAATAATGTTAAACAACCACAGATCTATGTAATCAACTCCACTTCAGAAACAAACTAGCCGCCCACACCATATGGTTACTGCTCTTTCTTAGAAATACCTAAAAGACTGTCCACAAAATAACCTAAAGAGAAAAGGCTTTCTATACCTTAGAATATTCCTTCACACCCTAACACTGTCCTAAGTGTGCCACAGATGGGCATGAATTTAAATGGGAAAGGTGTAACTTTCCATTTGCTGCCCATAACCAGCTTTCCAGCCGCCCTTCATCCAGGGTCAAATCTTCGAGGAGAGAACTGAAGAGGTATGCTTTTGAAGGTATAATTTACATTTGAAATTGAAACCTGTTCTTTTATACCATGTGTAGAAACTATTCCATGGTCTTAAAACTGTCATTGATAAGGAGATTCGTCGTCAAAACAGACAACTTTAATTTACCGTTCCACTCAATTTCAGATTCTTGCACCTCTTCCTTTTTGAAAGACAGCACTCTTAGAAACAGCCTCCTGAATGAGTGTTTCCTATAAAAACCTCCGTCAGTCCATTTAAATTTTTAACTGTCCACTTCACTGTGTAAGTGCTCCAGAGAAATGTTACTTTTTAGTGGACAACAGCACAGTTTACGTTTTGAAGTTCAGATACATTAGCCTCAAATTTGAAGTTTATGTGTAAAATACAAAACACTGGCACGTAATAGCGCTTGTCACTCAATTATATTTAAAAACCAGTGCACACGCTCAGTACTTTACATCTCCAAGTAAACCTTACTGCAGAACCAGAAAGTGTGTATCAGTGCTCACCCCAAGGATGCCTTGCTTCGGTGCAGAGGCTGTTTGCTGATTTTCATAAATGTTTGCCTGCCACTTCATAAGAAAGAAAATTTTTTAAGGGAATAGAAAGAAATCCAGGAAAATCTGTGTGTTGAAAAAAAAATGGCTCATTGCTTACACGCTAAGCCCAATTCTACCATTTCTGCTAAGGGAGGAAAGCCTGAGAGCACTTTAAAGGGCAGGGAAGCCACACACCAGGTGCAGCACATCTGAAAAAGTTGCCCTGCGAAGGAAACGCGTGCAAACGCCTTGGAGTTGTCCCTTCTCCGCGCGTCTGTCGTTCAGGTTACAAAATAACTCTGGAGGAGACAGAGATAAAAAACGCCACTTTCTCACAAAGTGTAAAGTTCTACCGCTTTCCGAGAGGATCTTCCCGGGAGTTGTCAACACTTCGCGCCGCTTCCCCAGTTGCCCCGAAGCGCCCCGAACCCGGGCGGCCCGCGCTTACCTGCTCTCGGGGGATGCAGGGCAGGGAGGTCCTGCGGTGGGACTTGCCGCCGCAGCCCGACATCTCAGCAGCCACCACGGAGCTGGACCGCCGCCTTCTCTGGAACGCCGGGATCTCGTCCTTGGTCCCAGCCCGCTCCCTCGGAGCCGGCCCCGGAGATTGAGGCAGGATCTGCTCCGCGTACCTAGCCAGGAGGCTCCCCAGCGCGCCGGCCAAGTACGCCAGGTAAGGTCTCCAGGGGACCTTGAACCTCTCCAAGGAAACGAGGGCCACGGTCCTGACCGCGTTAGTCCAGGCGCTCATGAGGACGCCCAGCCTCAGCCTCAGCACCAGCCATGTCGCGGCGGCCAGGCAACTGAGCACCACCCCCGCGGCGGGCAGCGACAGCAGGCGATTCTCCCCGACGCCCAGCCCAATCTGGACGAGGGCTTCCACTCCGCAGCAGGCGGCCAGCAGCGCGGCAGCCAGAGGCAGGCGCACCCCGGCCCGCCGGAGGTTCAAGCCCATCCAGAAGAAGGCACCCAGGAGACTGAGGAGCAGCGCCCAGGGCTGCAGCCAGGGGCTGGGCTGCGCGCCGCCCCCGGGCGCGCCTCCCCGAGCGCCGGGGAAGACGCCCCCTTCTGCTCCCGGGACCTCTTCCTCCTCCTCCACCTCCGCCTCCTTCTCCGCCTCCTTCTCCTCCTCCTCCCGCGCTGCCGCCGCCGCCTGAGGACTCGGCCCCAGCTCCCGGCCGCTTTCCGCGCCGACCAGCCACACCAGCACCGCCAGCAGGAAGGAGAGCGAGCCCGCGCACAGCGCCGAGGAAAGTTTCCGCGAGCGCCGGCGCGGCTGCAGCACCAGGGCTCCCCGCGGCCAAGTGGGGTGCGCACGACCCCCCCAGCCTCGGTCCAGCTCGTCTCCGTCTCGGGCGGCGTTGGCCCGTACTGCCATGGCGCGACTTCCACACCAGGTCCCCCCGGGGGGACGCCCCGAGCCACGCGCGCACACTCGCTCTGCCCAGTCCCCCCGGAATCCCTTCTTCGCCCCAGGCCCACCGTCCGCTGAAAAGTTTGCGCTTTCGAGTAACTCCGGGAGCAAAGCTAGATGCTCCAAAGCGACTTCAAGTGAAAAGCTGGCAGGACCAAGCTTGGACTTCTTTCTCTCTCTTTCAGTAGCTTTGAGGATTCTCTGCTAGCCGCCCCCCGTCCCCAACCCCGACTTCTCGCAGCGGGGTCCCTTCCTACTTCG